ACCCTTGGGGCACTCCACCAGTTACAGGCCTAAGTTACAGGTCTTATGCCTTGTCTAACCACAAATGTTTTAACATGTAGTTAGCTGATTTAGTTTAATAAGTATAAAAAAGCAGAGTGAACACATATTTTGGTTTAAACAGGCATTAGCATATGCTGAATGAAAATATTTTAAGTTTTAGAAAAAAAGAGAAACATTCCTCAGTTGATAGTTTGCAGCAGTTTAATTGATCAGTTTAAAATTGGTTCATTTATTATCTTTGTGTGTATTTTACTAATTGGAGGCCTTGTTTTCTCATCTGTGAGTTGAAAAGCACACATCTACCTTACAGAAAACTGTAAACTTATATCAGCAAATGTTTTCAAGGCAGTGAGATACAATGGTGATTGTTTTGGCATATAAAATAATTTTCATATGAAATAATGGGAATTTAAATGCTACAGGTTATACAGTACAATATATGCATAGCTATCTGTTGAAAGATGTCATCCTTGTCACCACTAGAATAAAAGCTGATACCTATTATGCATTTCTCCCCAACATTACTCTATAACAGTAAAATTATCTCCATCCTCTCCTGGCACAGAAAAGTTGCACAAATCTTCTTTGGAGCGTTTTAAAATGCTATTTTGTTTTTGTCTTGTTTCACAATAAAATATGTGGGTTTGAATTTTGAATAAATGTCCTAAAATAAATGGAGAGCTCTGATACAAGGTGAAAAAGGAGAAATTCTGGTTTTACTGGGTTTTGGAGTTATATCTGATCAGACTATTTTAGACATTTGTAATGAAGCCTAAATATACATTATATTTACATTACATAAGAACATAATTATAGTATAAGTAGATAATTTCAAATAAAATACGAGATGTCAGGTGTAAATATTTAGGTTTAATGTTTACATTAACTAGTATTTCGTTTGTTCCTCTACTTCACAGCTTCCAAAGAATGAAGATTTTTATAATAATTGATGTTGTCCTTGCAGCTAGCTTGATGGATGCCACTAGCAGCTCTGTAAGTTCCAGTAATTAAATTTGCCTATAGAGTTTCTTCTAAATATTTCATACCTTGTCCTCCGTAGTACTTACAATATATCTCAGCTACATGGGATGGCAGAACCTTTGATGGAAAAGGTTAGAATTCAGGACAAAACTGAAAGACTGGGGAAATAACCTCAAATTATGTTCAGTGGGTTCAAGTTTCTGATAAGGAAAGAGGAAACAAATGCATAACAATACAGTGGAAGATAAATGACTGGGCAGTAGCACAGAAGAAAGTAATCCAGTCAGCTTGTTACTGGATCTGACATTAAATAGGAGGTGATTGAATGTCTTTGCTAAAAAAGGTATCACATGATGCATTAAGAAGCATATTCTACAGAAGACAGAGAAGGCACACGAGACACTATCATTCAAGGGGTAATGCTAACCCAGAATAACACCTTTAGTTTTGAGCAGCATACTTACAGAAAGGCAAAACCCAGGAGCTCCTAAAGCAGTGGCTGCAGCAGTAGTATTTCTGGCCATTGATGCTTAGGATGATAAATGTTTCTATATATATACATACATGCACACACATAAACACGTACACATACACACACTCTCTCTCCGTTGCTTAAAATACTTCTGACCTCACCAGTCCTGTATGACTTGTCTTGGCTGTCCTTCCTAGTTTGATATTCAGGTCCTAACTAGCAGGGACCTGGGAGATTGAATTGTTGATTCATAATTGCCTTGGTGGAAGTGGTTGCTGAATTTGCAACTAGTTGAGCATCATTGTTTGTGGCTTATATTATCTTATGGAAGCTTAACTTATCAGATAAGTGGCTCTATAGGGGCAGAATAGAAAGCACCTGCCACTATAATAATTTCTGCTCAGTGGAGAAATATATTACTAATTTTCATAGAAGCCTGCTGAGAAAAAGGTGTTACAATGAAATGAATTTGATTTGTTTTGATTTTTCATTTGGAATATTATGGGCTTTGGCTGACCCTGCGAATAAAAACTGGGAACATTCTGAAATTTATCTCTCAAAGTTTTCACATTTTAATCTCATTAAAACACTAATCTCATTAGAGATTTTTTGCAGCTCATTTAAATTCCAAAAATATAAGAAATAACACCTCATGAAAAAATTTGTATTTTTATAGTTAACATAAAGTATTGTGACACTAATTTATTGCATTAATTTTAATGGAAGGTCACTAGTTGCTAAATAATTCACACAATAATGAAATAAAGACTGCGAATGCACATTAATTGCAGCAGCTGGTTAAACATGGGACCACATGTCCAAGAGTAGAGCTGTCAGCAGTTGTTAGATAATTGCTTTTCAATGTGTAGTACAAACAGTTGCTTCACTGGAACAGACAGAAGAGGTTATGTTCAGTCTGGTTTTGATCAGTGGGCATACTCTCCACTGGAGACAGGCACAATAAAATGAACATTTTTTTGAGTATTTCAAGTTGTAATAGTTTAATTTTTGTCCATATCTAACAAAAGGAATAGCAAAATAGCAATGTTATAGTTTCTGACTCTTACAACTCTAGGTTACATTTTGCTTCTGTGCATTGGTTCAACTCCAGTGATTTTAAGAGAGTTGTACTGGCGAAAAGTGTAATAGTACATTAAAAGAACAGTCTGGTAGCCTGCAGATCTAAAAGCAATATTGATCCACCTTGAAGTTACACAGCTAACTTGTGATTGTCCCATGGGAAAAATACATCAATGAGGAGGCTGAAGTCAGGGAGAGAAAGTGTCAGATACCAGTCATATGTACATTACCTTCCAAAGCCAGTTATTTTTCTTGTAGTGTAGTTATTCAGTATGGCTGGCAACTTCTTGATTGTTACTTACTAGTTACCAGCACTCTGAGCTTAAATCCTTTTCATCAGGAAATTGGTGTGTGTTAATGTAGCTATATTACTACTCACCCTATAATGAGTGTATTGTTTGTAAAGCAGATGAGAATCTGCTCAGCGTTAGTTTTTCATTTTAATGAATTAATTTGCAATTTTCAAGCAACAAAAAGAAATTATATATTTAAACTGTGAAAGTAAGAATAATATTTAGAGACATAGCCTGCTGTAGACTTGTGTTTAATTTGATTCAAAGGAAAGGACCTTTTATGGTGGTATATGAAGTTGTGTAATGCTGAATTTAGATACCAAGTTTTTCTGAGGCACAGTAATATTTTTTAGAAGTTTTGTACTTTTACTATACAGTTTAATCACAGTAGGAGAATGGCTGTTAGCTGTATGAATAGGTGAAGTGATAGATGAATTTTCATTACACCTGAAAGAAACACACTTAGCTGCCTGTAGCTGCTTCTCCTTAAATGTGCAAACTCCTACTCTGTCCAGGACTGGAAGCAGCTCTTCGTGGCTCAGGCCATGCACTTGTTAAAGAGACTGCCTACTTGAAGTGGGCACAATCTTTCCTGTCTTACCATGTTCTTCACAGTTGCAAGCACTGAGTTAAGACTGATACAGGCTAACATTCTCAATAAACAAACACTGCAGTAAAACTGGTAAGTGGCACGGTGGGTCCTTTATCACTCTTAGCTTAATATGATTAGGATTAATACTTGGTCTGACTGTTAACATGGAGGTTTTGACAGATTTACTTCTATAGTTAGCTCATCAAGCTGAGCCAGGATTTTTGTTATTATTATTACTTATAAAAAGCTATGCAGCTTTCTGGTCCTCCATAGTTTTCTGTATGCGCTCAGGACTAGTCTGAGAATTTGCAGACCTGTCAAGGAAGCCTGTTCTGAATTTCCCAATTCAACTCAGCTTTTGAGTTTATGTGAAGCGGCAGATACAAGTTGAGACAACCACCTTGAAAAGACTGCATAATAGTGCATCCTTTTTTTGTAATATGCAACATGTTGCACATCAACCAGTGCTTATGGTCAAATAACATGCCTTCAAGCCACTGTAGCAAGTTTGGCTCTGTATGTGCTTATAATTTAAGTATTTTCTTCTCTTGTTACTTGCTAGAAGAAAATGAGGGTATGCTTGGGATCTCGTATAGCTATCAACAACTGAAAAAGATTTTCAAGGGAGTATTTAAACAAGATAGGACTCTAGGGTTATTAGGTCATTGGCTGCTTTGTTTATTCTATTTAAAATGTTAGATTTTGGTAAACATGCTTCTCACTTTACAGCTCCTCCTTGTGGTCAAGCTTCTTAATGGCTTCTCAGGACCTAGTAGGAGCAAGCAGACAGTTGTAGTCTGCAGACGTGCCTGTCGTCAAAGCAGCCTGACATGGGCAGCCAAAGCCCAGAGGCACTTGAACATTTTCCTCTCCAGCAGGTCACTGACAAACTGCCTAGTCCTGCCACACGTATATTCCCCATACTTTAATTCCACCATGTATATTTTATTAGTATGCTACTTCAGATCTCTCTATGGTTCAGTGTGATATGGCAATGTTCTAAGGTATCAACTCTTTCATATGGATGGCAAATGTTACAGGTCTACATCCTTAGCTCATGTAAATAATGTTGCCCTATGAATAAGGTTGCACCAATTCAGAACTACTATATTTGATCTTGCATATCATATTTCCAAAAGATTCCCCTCCAATTTTGCTTTTACAGTGCTAGTTGTGCTCTCGTGCAAGCACCATAGTTACTAAACTTGTTTGCTCATATAAAATTGCAGACACAATGTTACTGATGCAAAATCTCATGTCACATTTGTAAAATGTATCATAAAACCTGAAAGGCTTTTTTTCCCATGCTGAAATCAAATTTTTTTTAATATCTATTTGAAACTGTACAGGCTGTTTTAATTTAAGCTCCCTTGACTGGGTTCTCTTCACTTTGGCTATTTTACCATGGTCATTAATCTAAAAGCAATTATTTGTTGCTCTGCATACATTCAGCATGTCAGAATTTGGAACAGTTATTCCAGCTCTCTTGTCATGTATCAGTATTTGCACCAGGGTTAAATGAGTGCCAGGTATAGCCGTATCAGAATCACCACATTTCTCACTCACTCTGTGTGGCAAAATTACATGTACAAGTCACAGCACAAAATTGACTTTTAAGTTTTTAACTTTTATTTTTCATGCATATTTGCAATTTCTTAGGGACTATTTAATTTAGCATGCCAAAAATTAGCTTGAAACTTTGCAGTATTTATGTTGGCAATGTTAAGACTCTTACCATAAGAAATGTGTAATCTAACAGCATTTGAAAAATGCAGAGTGAAGTGTGGACTGTGTTTCTGTAAAACTCTGGAATTCGAGGACCTTCTCAATGTTAGTAGCAGGTCTCATTGAACAGTAAATTTCTGTACATGGCAGGTGACAGAAAATAAGCAATCTTTATGATAGAGTCTGTACTACAGTGTTTTTCCCTGAAGTCTCCTCTGCATGTTTGCAGTGAGAGCTGGTAGTTATAGCCACTAAAGAGAAAGGTCTCTTTGCAAGGCAGGTATATGTTTGGACATTCTGTAATATATGAAATAATCTTAGATAGAGGTGGAAGTCAACACAGTGTCTGTAGGAAATTGTGACCAAAATGTTTTATACAAGTTAAATTTTATTTATGGTTTGTTTGGTTGGTGTTTTGTGTTGCATGTTCAATGTGACCAAAAAGTGTTGACTTTACCATAATACATGTTTTCCTTTCTAGGATCTACAGAACTGTTTGCAAGAGCATATACAACTTCAGGGCCAGGTGAGGCTTCTGGAACATCGTGTGAAACAGCAGCAGTTAAAAATTATACAGCTTTTGGAGAAGAAAGAGATTCAGTACAGTGACAGAGGAGATGAAAACAGCGTCATTGACTTGGGAGGAAAAAGACAGTATTCAGGTTAGAAAGGAAGCTATTCTTTTCATTACCATTCATTGTAATGATTCCCAGAAGCTTTAGCACAATTGGGCTCATTGACTTATTGTTTTAAAAGCTCATAGAAAATTGTTTGTTTAAAACACAGTGTTCGGCTTTTACCTAGGCCTGCTGCTGCAGGGAAAAATTGTTAATCTCACATGGGATAAATAAAATCTGGATTGAAGCTGTTTAATGATTTATTAATAGCATATAACTAAAAACCAATCAGTGAACAATAAATTCAGAATAAATATCAGCAATACAACAGATAAAAGCCAATAATAGGAATTTACAACATGTTAATAAACAGTTACAGATTTCTAAACACCCTTCTTTGACTAATCTCAAAAATTTCTAACCCATAGCGTCAGTTATCATTCACACATTCACAGGGTTACAAGCACACACCGACTGTTCCAATCTGTAAATCCCTGAGAGATCCATATTTACACACATAAGCCTGGCACAATGACATCTGCATTTCATATTCTGTATGTTGCACCATTTTGACTGAGTTAGGTTCAGCTCAGAACACCACAGCCTCCAAAATACTCATTTTAAGTTGTTTCTGTAATCTCACCAGCATTCTGATGGTGATCCGGTCCCTCTGCAGTGAAGAAGGCTAAGTGTGTTAGCCCACAGTAGCTGGAGTGAGGCCCAAACTCTTAATATAATAAAACACCATCCAAACCAATAGTTGGATTGAAAATACAATTTGGGAGTCTGATTCTTGAATGGTGTTCATTTCTAGTTGTCCAGAGTTTAACCTTCTATAATTTTTAATACCCTCGTTTGAATATACTTGTAGTGTTTATGCTGCTGGAAGAAATCACAACATATAACAACGCATCAAATACAATAAAGCACCATTACAATGAAATTAAAAGTAGTTGTAAGTCTGACTTTAAATTTTAGCTGTATATTTATTTATGTATTCAGCATCCTGGAATACCTTTTTTATTATTATGGCTACTCATTTGTTACTGGAAAAGACTATTAAAACCACATTTGCTGAAAAGTGTCTGTGATTTATTAGCATATGCCTCAGTTTATTTTCTTAAAATGTGATTCTAAATAACAGTCCTAAGCTGTTCAGTTTTCTGACTATTTTTTTTCCTTTTTTTTTTCTTTTTTTCATTTTCCTTATATCTTGGAAAATGCGTATCCCTATTGATACTACATTATTTCATTCAAATTGCTGTAGCATTTTAATGTCAGCAAAGCTGGATATTTTGGGATTAGACGGTGAGAGTGAAATTCCACCCTATATGTACATAAAATAAAATGGACATGAAAAAAATAATGGACATGAAAAGCTATTTTCTGTAAGTCAATCAAACATTTGCTAGAAAGTCAACTTAGGGGCTATTTAAATCATGTTTTCTATTAGAGTTTATTCAAATTCTGGCATAGCTATTTGTCTTCAGTATAAACTGTTTATTTTCTATGTCTAATTTTCACTAACACTTTCACTGAGAAGAAACATAATAGTTCAGAAAGTTCCAAAGTAGCCTGGAAGTTCAGCCAACATGTTTATAAATGTTTCAGTGAAAATCTTACAGTTAATCAGCACTACCATTGCCAGAAAAAACAGAAATGTTGAAAATTATACGTCTTTCCTGTAGGACTGCTTGATTGTAGATTACATATAAACAAAGAACTCCTTCCATTTCTTAACTCCTAGAGGAAAAAGATAAGATTATACAATTACATTGCTGTTATATTTTCATGAGCTCTGAATTTTTTCATTGCTGTTAATGCTGATTAGTCATTTACACCAGTGCAGACCAGACTGTAAATGGTATCAAGCTGAAGTGGTATCATTTTACAGATACATTGCACTTTTTGGGGTTAGTCTTCTATATATTTTTGCACCTGTTTAGTATAAGGGACAAGAGTATCAGGTCTAGCAATTGTTTCTCTTTTCCAACACTGGTGATTCCATACTCTTGTTTTAGCAGTTCTCCTGTGGACTTTCTGGACATTGAAGTACATGTTTGTTTTTAAAGGTTACTGTGGGGTTTATATGTTGAGAAATTGTAACAGTAGTCTTTTATGTGCATGATACTATTGTAAATTAAAAGTGTCAACACTTAAACCAAAGGAATTATTTGGCTAGTCAAATGAAAACAAAATTATAGTATATATGGTGGAAAAAAGATTCTTTTAAAGAAATGTCAAAATAATTACAGCTCAATAAAGTTTAAAGCAACACAAATACAACAAAATGCCCAAAAGTATAGAAATGTGTTTGCAGAGGTATTTTCTTCGCACTAGCCTGGTTCATGTGTGACTCTTACATGACATAATTTGATTTTTGTTATTGACTTGATTTCTGATTTTGCCAGTAAGTATAGGACTAAAAAAACTGTGTCCAATGAATGTTTTGTGAACAGATTGTGCAGAAATCTACAATGATGGTCATAAGCAAAGTGGATTTTATAAGATGAAACCTACCCAGAGTCCTACTGAATTCCTTGCCTTCTGTGACATGTCTGAAGGAGGTGGTTGGACTGTTTTTCAGCGACGTTCTGATGGCAGCCAGAATTTTGATAGGTAGGTATTAGACTTAGTAAAATTGGAAACAAAATGGTGAAACGTTAAACCAAATGGAACCAAGTTAAATCTTAACTTTAGAATTATATTATATATAATATATTTCTCCCAGATAAAAGGGAGAAATGGTTATTCTGCGGGACAGCCTCCAGATGAGATACCACGTCTGTCTTCTGGGGGACACCTCTTCTAGTCTTTTTCTGACAGCTTGTGCCTTCAATGTCAAATGCATCAACATTTGTTGGAGCAAGAACTTCTAATAACAAGTAAAGGACTACCTTGTCTTTTGCAAATAGAAAATATCTTAAAAAGTACAAATGTAAGCAATCTGCTTGAAGCGAAATACCATCAGCAAGCAAGTATGAGAGAAACCCACCACAGAGTAATTTGTAGATCATGGTAAAATGCCTCCAGGAAAGATAAGATGGGTGAGAACTTGATTTGTGGACACCTAACCCCCATGCCTTTGCCAAGACTCAAACATTTTTTTGGGAAATGTCCAGAAGTTAAATTTTTCGTGCTGTGAGACTTACATATAAAAAACCACAAATCTTTACAGATATTAGAAGCAACAAGAAGGTTTTTTAGAACCTCCACTTTGCCCAATTTGCTTTTCATGTATCTGCATCCTTCTGTGGCTTTGTGTCTTACCTGTGTTTATAATTACTGTAACTAACTTTACAATACCCTTATGAAACAGAGAAGCTATCCCCACAGAGGATGAAAAACTGCAGTCCAGCAAAGAAAACTTTGCTATTCTTATTTTATAAAATATGGTCAGACGAGCTACAGAAGCAATCTGTAGCATATTACAATTGTTACCACCACACATCACCCATTCTTCTCTCTTGCTGGAGACTACCGGCTACTTAAGTCACAGAGTCTGATTTCTCCTAAAGTACCCAAGTTGAAACAAGAGAGGTTCAGCCTAGATACAAGGAAAAACTTTTTCACCATGAGAACAGTCAGCAGGTTGCCCAAAGAGGATGAAGAGTCTCCATCCTTGGAGGTTTTACAAGACCTGATTGGACAAGTCCTGAGCAACCTGGTCTGATCTCATGGCTGACTCTCTCCCTTGAGCAGGACATTGGACCAGATTACCTCCTGAGGTTCCTTCTGATTTGAATTGTTCTGTGATCTGTGATTGCATGATAAAATAAACATCCAAGCAAACTTGTTTTTTTGATAAATTAGTAATTTATGTTCTTTCAGAGTCTGGACTGACTATGAAAAAGGCTTTGGAAATTTTGTTTTGACAAATGGTGAATATTGGCTTGGAAATAAAAATCTTCATTATTTGACTGATCAAGGTAAGGTTTGTATTGTAACCATAGAATATGATTGTTTCTGTTTCTTTGCACTTTCAGCAAACTTTTTTGTTACCCTTTTCGAAAATAAATCCTGAGTTCTGTTGTTAGTCTGCAGAGACATTTGCATATATGTTTTCTAACAAAAGGCTCAGAGCTGTCATTGGGCCAATGGCATGCAGGGAGCCCCTGCAAAAGAGGGAACAGTAGACAGGAGTACACCTTAAAATAATTGTTGTTACCAATCCACAGTGAGCATCACTAACAGTCCAGTGTTAGGTAGTATCCTTTACCAATTCATTTACATGGCTGCATAGGCTACTAAATAGTGGTAAATCTAGGCCTGTCCTGTTCATTAGGCTAGTCTTAGAAAGCTATCTCCAACTTTCTAATAGTCACTTCATCTAAGATAACTTCTGCTTTGCTGTAGAATGCTGCATATACAAAATTTACCCACTGACTTAGCCAGCTAATTAATATGGAAATCAATGCCACCAGGATGTAGTTCTAGTTTAACTCTTTTATCTTCAGAATATAATTTTCTTAGGTGTAATTCTCACTATCCTTTCATTACCACCTCAAATATCTTACTAAGATATAAAGCTCATATGGCCATTTTTTTAGACTTTTTTGGTCTGCACTTGAAAAATTGTATTGGAATAATCCTGAAGTTTTCTAAGCTGAATCAGGTGAATAAAGACAAAGAAGAGCAAGATATGCTTTAATATGCATAAATAAAGATGACAAAAACCTATAAAATATGCTGTGATGATAAAGATAAGATTAATTATAAAAATATAGTTAGTATTTTAATCTTCTACTGTAATACTCTGTTCTGAAAAGCAGTGAGATAGGCTAATTTAACCAAAATAATTTGTGTTAATTTGTGTTGTTTTCTCTTAAGGGAACTATACTTTAAGAATTGATCTAACTGATTTTGAAGGAGAAAGGCGTTTTGCACAATATGCAAGATTCAGAGTTGCAGGTGAAGAGGTAATAAAATATGAAATATCAACTAGAGGTCTTAATGAAAATGTGGATTCTGTATACAGACAATAAATATACAAATTCCCTAATTTTCATAAAAGTTTGTTTTGAACCATATTGTCATATTTTCTTTCTTAAAAATGCTTGGAATTTTCAAATATGTAATAATAGCAGCTTACATTGATACATCAATTTTACACTTTCTGTAATATGTTCAATCATTTGGTTTAGCAGCCATGGATAAAACCAGTTTTTTCTATTTTTGTTGATATTTCCAACAATAAGGGTATACAATGTTCTGATTTGTTAACATATACTGCAAACTAGCTCTAATATTGTTTTTATTATGTAATTTATACATAATGCTATTGACAAATTTTACCCTAGGTAAGCATCTTTACACCCCTTCATTATCTAGTACACAGTGTTTAAGTGGCATGACATTTCTGAGCATAAAAATAGTAGCACATGGAACAGATTAGTTTTCTCTTTGTGGTTTCACTCTCTGACATACTAAAGGTTAAAGACATATTGGAAATGTTTTTTTCCCTTTCTTCACATTTTTCATTAGCATTCTTATGAGATGAGTTGTGGCGAATACTCCGGTACAGCTGGTGATTCCCTTACTGGTGGATTTCATCCTGAAGTAAAGTGGTGGGCTGATCATCGAGGAATGAAATTCAGTACTAAAGACAGGGATAATGACAACTATGAAGGGAACTGTGCTGAAGAGGAAAAGGCTGGCTGGTGGTTTAACAGGTATTTTGATTCTATATCAGTATCGTCAACTATTCTGCTTCATGCATATTCATGCAATAATAACATGTGGTAGAAGACAGGACTGGCACTGTTTATTGTATTTTCAATCTGCCTGTGACCCTTACCAGAGATCTCAGTGCTGCTAAGACTGAGACTCAGCTCAGAAGTGACAGCACCTACTGCACAGCTCAGTTTGGTCTGTGATAATGGTATTTGCCATAGGCTTTGGTCATCGTTGTTATCAGACAGTAAGAAGAAGATAATTCTGCCCCTTTAAGGTAACCAGTTTTTACACAAGTAGGTCCTATAGAGTTTGCAGATGTACCCCTGCTGTACTTCACTCTTGCATTTCTCCTGCATTGCACTAGACCAGATGTGGCAGTACTGCAAAATATTTGACAAGGTAAGCTAGTGCCAGGTTATTAAGCCTCATTTTTTTTCACCTTGGTTCACAGCATCTCACTCTTGTTATTCCTTCTATATCAAGGTGGGAATGTGTCCACTCAGTTTCTGTCAGTGAGCATGCTGGACAGAGAGGAAGATTTTTTTAAATAGGGTTCAGTAAAAGAATTTAAAAAATCCTACTAACATACAAAATACTAATTCAAAAGGAAAGTATAAAACTGGTAGCATTAGCACTGTCTATATAGGCAGCTACGTTCTTCCCCTTAATTAATTAGATAAATATAGTCAGGAAGAGAAACTATGCAATCTAGCTGTGTAATAGAGAGGTTTAAAATACAAGTCAGGGAAGCATACTACTTTTGCACTGTGATCTCAGTTCACTTGGCAAGAGCTGCCAGGCTGGATCAACTCCATTGTTTCTCTCTCTTGTGTCATTCTTTGTTTCTGTTTTTTAACTCCTTATTTTCCAAATTCTGTTTCCATAAGTAGTCTGTGACCACCTTAGCTGATAAGATGTAGCTTTTAACTCAATGTTTCACACTCAATTACTTATTTTAATACATTTTAAGGTATTTACA